GAGGGGATGGTCAGGATCAGCTGTAGGTTTGTTTACAGGGCTAATCCTAGGCCAGGATGAAGATTAAAAAGAGTAAATCAGACAAAATTTTTGTCTTTTACAAAACTTGCTATACAGTGCAAGAATTCTGTGCATAATTGTGAGGGAAAAGTTCATTAAGTCAAAATATGGTGTGTACCTGTAGTTGTAGAGTAGGTTGTTTGAAGACCAATTTCCCAGAGATGGATTATCTTACACAAGGGTTCTTAAAGTTAGCAAATTTTGCTCCCTGTCTTCATGTAAAACAACTCCAAATGAGTTCTATTTCCTCAGGCATTATATTTTTTCTGTCTTTCAGTGCACAGGAATTGGAGTCATAAAGATACTGTAATGTTAATAGATCTGTCCCAGAGTTCATGAGGTCAAACTTGTTGTTCTTATCATATGACTAACAGTGCAAAAACCTGGAGTCAACTCATTTAATCTTGGGCATAAAATAATCGGCACCAAAGAACTGCATATCCATAAATCAATAGAGACTAACCTCTAATTCATTTCTTTTTGGGTCACACGTTCTACTTTCAGCTCAAAAGGAGATAAGGTAACTATAATTAAAATGTCTATTTCCTTCCCTACTATTTGTGTTAACATTCATGCTATTGAATATACCCCTTTCATAATGCTATATTTTTTCAGTATTCTACAGTTATTGTTTCATTAAAAATACCCCTGTGATATTAACTGTATAATAAATTACAATTCAAAATAAAATATGAGCCATTTCATCTATGAGAGAGAATAATAAAGCCGTAATAAAAAATAATAAAGTTTAGCAATATGATAATGTAGCATGAGGTTTTTATAGACTCCATGTAAATATTAAAATCTATAAATTTTTTATATTGTGTAAAATTGTAAAAAATAGTAGTGAAGGGGGAGGGGAAAGGAAAAAAAGCAGCAGTAGCAGGCTGGCTTAATCCTGAAATTTTCTGATTTCTTTTTATAATCTGAAAAGTAGTGTATAAAAATTATGCTTATTATTTGTTTCTGGCCTATCTGATTGACTAGAGATATTAAATGTAAACTGAGGAAGGAAAACTCCCTCTCTGCACTTTCCAGCCCACCGTATTGGTAAGCAAAGAAACTCTAAAGCCCAATCACCTCTCTCCTTGCCTTCCTTTGCTCACACCTAGTACCCTTGTACATACTCTGCCCTTATTTTTCTAACTATGCTTTAAACAACTTCTTTATTTGGTTTCTTTTTATGTATTTGGGATTTAACAGAACGTAGCAGATTATGCAAAAATGGGAAGAAGAGAAGAGGAGAGGAGAGCAGAGCAGAGCAGAGGAGACATGAAATACTCCTTGCAACCATTTTCTTCTTGTTGCATCACCCTTCACAGCACACTGGTGGGATAAGAATTTAAAGCCTTAATTTCCTTGTAGACTAATGATAATTTATTTAATTGTACTAGTCCAATACTTAATATTTCTTCTGACAGCAGATTGCACATGACATATGCAATTTGATTTAAATAAAAAAACTGTCTTAAATGTTTTTTATTTAAATAAAAGGGGAAGGAGGGAAGATATACAAAAAAAAGAGTATGGATTTCTGAAACAGGTTCAAAACAGGCACAAATAGTTATTGTTTAAAAACCTGCCTTTTTGGAAACTTGACACTGGTCAGCCTTGTTTTCTTGTATTGTGTTGGTCTAGAGACAGCACAACAAAACGTACTTGATATACCCTAGAACATGCTAATTAGTAAAATATGGGGGTACTTGCTGTTCTCTTATGATGGAGCTGCTTCCATTCAATTAACAGGCAGCTTGTCACTGACAAGGACATCGTGGACTCTACGTTCATAATCGTGATTCTTGTCAGATTTCTAGAAAGGAGGAGAGGAAATAGAGAGGAAACAAAGCTACATTGTCATAAAATAAGGAACTAGCTAAGCATCTGCATTTCTGAAACAAGAAGTCTCTTTCTTCTGTAAATTTAAAACTTTGTTTACCATGTGTGGGTCTTTGAAAGAGCAGTATGGAAAGTCCAGGTTGGATTGGGCTTTGAGCAACCTGGTTTGGTGGAAGGTGACCCTGCCCACAGCAGAGGGGTCGGAACTAGATGATCTTTAACATCTCTTCCAACCCAAACTACTCTATGATTCTATGACAGTATGAGACTAGATAAAGAGATGCTCAAGGGAACATAAAAGTAAGAGCCACAGCACGTAATCTGAAAACATTTAAGGACAACCACAGACTTAATCTATTGTTCTGCCACACTACCTCCACTGCCAGTATTCCACACTTTTTGTCAAAAAGAAGTATGGGGGTTCCTAGTCCTTAACAGGAGCCTGCCAGCTTAAGGTGGCTTCAACCTATCTGGGACCAACATGCCAGCAACTGAGGTCCACCAGGCATCCCAGGAACTCCACCTTGTGCTGTTGAAAAGAGTCGATCTCTGGGGGTTGGTATGGAATCACCACTGCTGCAAGTGACTAAGGCTTCCCTGGCATTCCTGTTGTGCCTGTTGAGCGCTGGAGGACATGAAGATGCCAAGAATGCCACTACCCAGTTACCAAGAAGGCTCTGCAGCACATTATGTACAAAATGATGGAAGTGGTCAGAGACAGGAGAGACCAAAAGGTATCACAAGATCCTCATAGTACCTGTATCTGGTTCAGAAAGCAGTTTTCTGCTCGTACCCTTCCAGCATGCAGGAAGTGCAGAGTTTGTTAGGATTTGCCAACTTCTTTTGTTGATTCATAAGAGGGTTTCCCAGCATCACGGCTCTCATAACAGCATCTACTTGAAAGGGGCCTCACTTCCTATGGGCATGAGAAGCACACACAGCTCCTGAGGGACAGTCATTCACCACAGCTTGCGTTACTGTCCTGCTGAGGTCTTGGCTGGGATTTCATTATGGAAGCAAATGTCTCTGGGCCATAGGGGTCATACTCTCCTAGAATCTGGTCCAAAGCAGGAGCCATGACCCTATGTTTTTTTCCCTCTGGGCAGATCACTCCCACAAATAGGAATTATGACATCCAAGATAAACAGCACCTGAAAATCAAAGTTGCCTCTGAGGAGTGGTAGCGCACTCTTGAGGCAGCAGCAGAACCAACAGTGGTGCTGACCTATCCCCAGAATACAACTGAGGGATCAGGTGCTGCTCTCCTCACCTTGTCTGATAGACTTCCCTGTCTCCATAATTTAATTGTCCATTAACTGTCACTAACTTTGGTTTCCAACCCAGAAGTCTGCCAGCCACACCAGCTGCCTCATATGCGCCTGCACCAAGTGACTGTCAAAGCAGGCAGTCTGTTGATGCAACTGACAACACAGTTGCCATTTCTACCACAATAAAGCAACTGCATTTTCCCCATCTGTGTTCTCATTCTTGGGCTGAGTGAGGTGGGTGGTGCCTATGTCCATATCCCCCTGCTCTGTGGACAGTATGGAAGGTAGAGCAAAACATGATGGAGATCTTCCAAAGGTCTACATATGCTCTTCCTGGCAGAGACAGGTGCTTCTCCAGTGACAGGGCAGCCTGGTAGACTGCCCCAAGCTCTAGGGTAGGTCAGTCCTAGCCATTTCATTTTGAGGGTCACAGACAGACAGACAGACACAGACCTTAAAGGGCCCTAAGGGGCTTGCTCTTCGGACCTATTTTCCAGAGTCAGCTGATTTATGTATTTAGTGGCCAGCTACTCCCCCTGATGGAGCTCCAGCATTTCAGTGTGCCAGGTCACTGCACAGTTGTGGTCCCCCCAAAAACTGCTTCGAAGCAGTAAGTCATCTGGTTTTGGACCACAGGGCCATTGTCTTCCGCATGGTCACAATCCATTCACAGGTTGCCCTGGGAGATTGCTGCTGCTGAGCACCGGATGTCCCTTAGCATATACAGCACCTTGATAGGCTGTGAAGATTAGCCACGTCTAACAAATAAATCCTAATACAATTGCGCACTCCCACTGAATGGTTCTGCAACCACTCAGTAACCACAGAACTATAGAATGCTTTGGTTGTAATGGACATTTAAAGATCATTTAGTCCAACCCTTCTGCCATGGGCAGGGACATCTCTTACTGAGGTTTCTCAAGATGGGGAGCAAGAGATCTTGAAGCAGCCTGCAGTGCTGTGTCATACCTCTACACACTGTAGGAATCTGAGGTTAACCTGCAGATGATGGGGAGCCTGAAAGCCAGGCTCCATCATAGTCAGCCTAGGACTTGAGTTGGCCCATGCTACCTGCCACGAAGCAGCAAGACTGGGGTTGCTCTGCAAGCGATGACAGTGAAAAGCTGGAGGAGATCACATCACAGGACAGTGATCTCACCAACCAGGGCACAGCACCCAAACAGGGCAGCCTGGTGACAGTAGCAGCTGTTGACAGTCCCAGGGATCACCAGGTAAACGTGAGATGGCAGGTCAAGTCTAAGTGCAATCCATGAAATCCAGTGAACAGAAGCTGCAGGGTACAGTGTTAGGCACATGCCTGCCAGCAGCACAGCTCAGGAAAGGGCTGGAGGCCAAGGCTGGAGCAGAAATGGAGCTACCCCTTGTAGCTATGCTGGTGAGGTGTACTGGCATGTATCTTAGGCTCTAGGTTAACTCCAGTGCAATCAGGAGAGATGAATGTAACACAAACATCGCCCCAGCGATCTTGCACCTTCTCACTGGAGCTTAAAACCCAGACCAAACATGTCTTGAGGGCATTCATCTGACCACAGATTATCTTCACACTCTCTCCAGGTCCTTCAGTCACCCATTGCTACACCCATCCTGAAAAAGTTGCACAAAGATTTAGGAAAACTTTTAAGGGGTGAGGAAGGAGAAGAAATGCAGGAACAGGCAAGAAAGATGATAGAATTTAGGCTTGCCAGTTCTGACATAAACAGAAACACTGGAAATAGGGCCTGTGACACCACCTGCTCCCACTCCATAATGAATAAGAATTATAATATCCCAACTTCCTGATTAAAGACAAGGACAAACTTTGTTTGTGGATTTTTGTTTACTTCAAATAAAGGCCTTAGAATTATACTAAGACCTGGGTTGTAGTCCTAAGTAACAGAAAGAATGGTCTCTCTGTTGTAAAGTACTAAATGCAGAAATGCCCAAAACTACCTTAAATAGAAATTGCAGATTGCAAATTGTGTTTCATATCAGATACAAATTGTATTTTATAGATAACGCTGGATTTCAAAGAATGAGGAAACTCAATCTATTTTCAGACTTGAAATTCAACTGTGCGGATTATGTAAGTATGTCATAAACAAACAGAACAACCAACTAATAAAGATGTTCTAGAAGAGAGGTAGATGGAAAAAAAAATAAATGAAGATATTCCTTGCCCCAGACCAGCTATTACACTTGGGAGGAAAAAAACCAAACACATTACTGTCACATGTGCACTCACTGCATTAGGAGAGCCTCAAGTTACCACTAAATTAGGCAAAATAAAATGTCTTTATTGCCCGTTCCAGATTAGGACCTTTACAAAAGTGTGCTGCCGTTAAAAATGAAATGTTAAATATAGGGGATATCATTTCAGTCTCTACAAACCAGAAACTCTCAAAGTAAAACTACATCTTTAAGCACTGCAGATATCAAAGAAACAGAATATCAGCACTAACGTTTTGAGGTAGTCTGATATCCTTGCTGTTACTCTAGTCTCAACTTCCTTCTGCTCACACACCTGGATGTTTTTTTTATGACACCCAGTGTGACTACATAATGCAATTTCACAAGTACAGTAATCATTTTAAAGCCATACCATTCATATCCCTAACAATGTTCATTTTTTAAAACGCGCAGCTGGTTGGACTGTGCAATTCTCTCCTTAAGTCGGCTGAGACAACTCTTTAGGAATTACTGATGAACATTTTAAATACATAAAGCTGTGCCTGTCTTATCTGTACAGATCTACATTTTGGAAATTGAGTTAGCCATACCATACCATATAGTAATAAAGTAAAACATGCAGTAATTTCCTAGTAAGTTACTGCCATCTAACAACGCATTTTTCCAAGGCACAGTACACAAAAGAACTCCTGCAATGGCAGATCAATGTACCACATGAAAAATTTAACCTTCTAATGAGACAGTGCTACATGTTTTGCTCATTCTTTGTGTCAAATGACATAAGGCAGCATAAGCAGCACAATGAGGAAATTCAGACATCCCTGGTTCTTCATCATAGTCACAATGAATACTGGTCGCCTACACAAATGAGAGATACAAAGTTGTAAAATATAGGAATATAATTTTATTCTGTTAATTTGCAAATGCATTGGTACAGCTGTTCTGAGAAAGCTTCTGAGGAAAACTTTTCCATAACTCTCACTCTCCCAGCTGCTCCCATTGTGTCCTTTAAGATAGGATCTCTCACAATTTTTTCCATTGCTTCAGCGAATTCGGTTGGTTGAGGATCACACAAAAATCCTGTAACACTGTGCAAGATTGATTCTAAAGGACCACCTGAATTAACTGCTATAACTGGACATCTCATATACATTGCCTCCAAAGGGACAATACCAAAATGTTCATTGCTTGGTGTATAAAGCACACATACACAGTTACTAAAAAGGGAGATTTTCTGTTCGTCTGAGAACGATCTCAGAAAAGTCACATGCTCATTAACACCAAGCTTGGCTGCAAGTCTCCTCAGCTCTTCATAGTGCTCCACATTTTCCAGAACTCGTTTATCATAACCACCTGCCATAACCAGGTGAACTTCATTCCACTCATGAGAATCAAGTCTTCCTCGAAGTTCATGCAAAGCTTCAAGAGCCAATGCTAGATTCTTTTTTCTCTCATATCTATTAATGGAAAGAAACAAGAACTTCTTTTTCGGTATCAGGTCAACTATGTCTGCAGGAACGATTGTTTCAAAGCTATTGATGTTGAGTGATGGGTAGAGGACATCTGGGTTTATGTGAGACAGGGACTTAAATGTGTCTTTGAACACGCTGGCAGTAAACTTGCTGTTCACAACAATACAGTCTGCCATGCCAGTCGTGTACTCTTCCAGCCAGTCGAGTGGCCATCTGTAGAGACGCTTCAGGAAAGATTCTCTCTTGGTCAGAAGCTGGTCAGGAAAGTGACAGTAAAACAAAACCTTCTTACGGGTTCTGGCCAGTCTAAGTATGGGAATGCAAGCAGACACCTAATGCAACCAGAAGAAACAGGACAAGAGGAGATATTAATTATTTGTGTTAGTGCCACCGGAGCGTACACATGATTTCAAAGCCACACCCTGAGGGTCAGTCCTTTGCAAGCCAAGTGCCTTCTCCCTCTCTCTTCCACAAGCATTCCCTCACCCAGGACCTCTTGTTGAGGCCCTAGATCTCCTTCCTCACAAAGACAAGGCACCCTGCTCCCCACCCAGGCCCCACCAAGCCTCAGGACTTCTCCATGCACTTCCTCCCTGCCACTACCATAGGAGATGGGAATGGAGCCCAAGCTGCAGCAGCATCCTCCCTCCAGCTGCCCCAGAATGCAAGAGTGTTGCAAAATGTGGAATATGTCAAGATTATCTTAGGTGAGGACACTCTTTGATGTAAGGTCTTTGTATACTCTCAAGGCTAATCAGAAAGAATGGAGACCTAATCAGTGTAACAGGTAGAAGCCAGCATCCCTTAGTGCAAAGACATCCCGGAACTAACAAGTTTTACGGACGTAGTAAATCAAGATGTTGTTGCATGAGAATAGAACAGATAGCAGCTAGCATCCCTTACGCAAGGACATCCTGGAACTAACAAGCCTTAAGGCTGTAGTAAATCAGGATGTTCATGTATGTCTATGTCATTGTCATTGTTATGTTTATGTCATTGCTAACGTGGCAAAATACTCAAGGTCCTATTGCTGAACTATTATGTTCATTATAATACTAAAAATCATGCCTACAAGACAAAAAGATCCCTACCCAGGTGAAGATCCTTTCCCTGTGCACACGTAGAAGTTAGCTGGGGTTATGTAACTTGTATGGAATCACAGAATCAATCAGGCTGGAAAAGACCTCTGAGATCATTGACTCCAACCTATGACTGAATACCACCATGTCAACTAGACTATGGCACCGAGTGCCACATCCTGAGTTTCCTTAAACACCTCCAGTTACCTCTCCGGGCAGTCCATTCCAATGTCTAATCACCCTTTCTGGGAAGAAATTCTTCGTGATGTCCAACTCAAACCTCCCCTGGTGCAGCTTAGGACTATGCCTTCTCATCCTGTCGCTTGCTGCCTGTGAGAACAGGCTGACGCCAACCTGGCTACAACCTCCTTTCAGGTAGGTGTAGAGAGTGATAAGGTCCCCCCTGTGCCTCCTTTTCTCCAGGCTAAACACGCCCAGCTCCCTCAGCTGTTCCTCACAGGACTTGTGCTCCAGACTCTTCACCAGCTTCGCTGTCCTTCTCTGGAAATTATCAACCAATCATAATTGAGAGGCTGCACTTAGAAAGTGACTAACTCTGAATCTCTGTATAAATAATGGTGAGGAAAGCCCAATGGGATGATCTTGATTTGTGGAACACCACTGGGCAGCCAGTGGTGCACAACTCTGAAATAAACAATCAACATCTTCCTCTCTCTCTCGTGTCTAATTATTGGCTTGTTGCACACCACGTAACGAATATGATTTTGTAGGGATTTGATGCTCCAGAGATCTGGAGCATCTCTCTTACAAGGAGAGACTGAGTGCAGCTCTCATTAACGCATATAAATATCTCCAGGGCGGACGCCAAGAGGACAGTGCCAGGCTCTTTTCAGAGGTGCCCAGCGACAGGACGAGGAGCAATGGCCACAAATCAAAACACAAAAAGTTCCACCTCAGGACGAGGAAGAAATTCTTTACGCTGAGAGTGGCAGAGCACCGGAAAAGGCTGCCCAGGGAGCTCGTGGAGTCTCCCTCTCTGGGGGGCATTCACCAACCCATCTGGACTCACTCCTGTGGGCCGCCTGCTCTAGGTGACCCTGCCTGGGCAGGGGGGGTTGGACACGGTGATCTCCAGAGGTCCCCTCCAACGCTAAGAATTCTATGACACTGTGAACAATCTGTCGGTCCCGCGGCGGCGGTGCGCCCGTGCCCGCGCCCCCGCCCGTGCCCGCACCTGGTCGCAGACGAAGGCGTCGCAGCTCTCCCCGCTGAGCAGCAGCACGTACAGCGCCAGGCAGGCCATGCGCAGGGCGGCGCACAGGGCGTGCCCGCGGCCGCACAGGGAGCGCGGCACCCAGCCGCCCGCGCTGCGCACCGCCAGCCCCCGCGTCTCCGCGAAGCAGCGCCCGGGGTCGTAGTGCGCCGTCCAAATCTGCACCCGGCAGCCCCGCGCCCGCAGCGCCAGCGCCGCGTCCACCACCAGCCGCTCCGCGCCGCCCAGGCCCAGGTCCGGGTGCAGGAACAGCACGGACGGGCCGTCCCCGCCCGCCTCCTCTTCCTCCATGGCGCTGCCGGGCGGATGGGATCGCATGCGCAGGCCGGCAGTCCCGGCGGGACACGTCAGCCTTCCTGCCGGGCCTTCGCGCCCGCCCCGCCCGCCGGGCGCCCGCGGCGCTGCCCGGCCCGTCACTCCGCTCGGTCTCGCTCCGGTCCGGCCGCTGAGGGACAGCGGGCGCAGCCGAACCGTGGCGCGGGGGCAGCGCGCTCGGGAAGCTGCAGCTGAGAGAGGGGGAGAGGGGATAAGGGGCCGGTGCTGCTCAGGCATTACCCTGGGAAGCCGCGCGGTGCCGGGATGCGCGGCGCGGGGGCGGAGCCTGCAGCGGGCAGGGACGTGGCCAGATCTGCCGTAGCGGAGCCTGTGTGAGACCGCGCCGACCCCGAGCCAGCGCCGCAGCCATGGTGAGGGGCTGCCCGAGGCGGGGGGGCAGCTGGGGCGCCCCTGCTCCCCTGGCCGTGCCCGCCGCCTCTCACCCTCTCCCGGTTCTTTCCTCTCTCCGCAGCCCGGGCCCAACCCCAGCGCCACCAGCGTCGGCTCCTCCGGCCGCTCCCCCAGCAAGGCAGTGGCTCCCCGCGCCGCGGGATCCACCGTCCGGCAGAGGTGGGTGCCCGCCGCGTCTCCGTAGTGGGGGCAGCTCTGCCCTCCGTCGTGCCCTCTGCTTTCCTGGCTGCTCAGGCTGGTGCCCTCTGCTTACGTGGTAGCACAGACTGATGCAAGTCCAGAGGTGGGCAGCGGAGCTGGCGAAGGGTCTGGAGCACAAGTTCTATGAAGAGCAGCTGAGGGACCTGGGGTTGTTTAGCCTGGAGAAAAGGAAGCTCAGGGATGACATCGCTCTCTACACCTGAGTGAAAGGAGGTTGTAGCCACGTGGGGATCGGCCTGTTCTTCCATGCCATGAGCGACAGGATGAGAAGGCATAGTCCTAAGTTGCACCGGGGAAAGTTTAGGTTGGACATTAGGAAGAATTTCTTCATAAGGGCTATTAGACGTTGGAATGGGCTGCCCAGGGAGGTGGTGAGGAGTCACCGTCCTTGGAGGTGTTAAAGGAAAGACAGGATGTGGCACTCAGTGCCATGGTCTAGTTGACATGGTGGTGTTTAGTCATAGGTTGGACTGGATGATCTCAGAGGTTGTTTCCAACCGAAATGATTTGTGAAGTGTCTTGCTTCTGCAGAGTCTCTTTGGGATGCCTGGTGCTAGAAGCTGGCAGACTGCTAATGTGTTTTGTTCGGTCTTTGTTTCATTCTGTTGTCCCTTAAAGGAAGAATGCCAGCTGTGGGACAAGGAGTGCAGGCCGTGCCACGTCCACAGGTACTGGTGGGATGTGGCGATTCTACACTGAGGACTCACCGGGGCTCAAGGTGTAAGTTGGATTAATGTGTGGTGGCAGGCATGGGGTCTGTAGAGTTCTTCTGTTTATATAGTCTTTCAGTCTGTGAATTATTAATAAACTATCAGTATCCTGGTATGCATGGGAAAACATGCTGAATTGGTGGCTGGACAACACGTTTTATTTATTCTGTAAACCTGGAGAAGTAGTTTTAAATTTATACTGGTTTGAAAAAGGTAGGTACAAGTTATATTTTGTAATTGCCTAGGCTTACTTTAGGTGGTCTTTGAAGACTGCAAAGTTGCAGTCTTTGAAGTTGAAAACTTAGGCATCTGTGTGCATGCTTTTGTTCTCTTTTAATTAAAATTTTGGGATTTTCTTTATTAGTAGCTATATTGTGATCCTCTGCACCCACTTGAAAATACAGTATAACTGATATGCTGTATGGTTGCATAATCTCAGGTGTCTCTATTAAAAAGCTGCAGATAGACAACTTTAGCTAAGCTTGCAAAGCAAATAGCATTCCGATACCTTGTATATCATTGTTTTTACAAGATGAATATTCGAAGATTATGGTCAAATAGCTGGTGTTGTCCCTTAAACTCTAAAGAGAGCCTTAGTTTTTACTTTTTGGGCATTTGTAGTTATTCAGATCAGTTTCCCAAACAAACTTTGCAGCCTAATACTTCGGTAACAAAGGTGGAAGGTGTATTTCAGCTGACGAGTGCATGCTAAGTCATACCCTGAGTGGGAACTTGTGCTTCTTGTAGAGTGATACTTCATGGCCTCTTGTTCTTACTGGTTTGAGGAGTCTCAAGACACTCAGGGCTGTTTCTTGGTTTGTTTTTTTTTAAAAAAATTCATTAGTATTTACTTTTGGAGCTCTTTAAGAGGACTTCTGCTGGCTGCAGAAACAGAACATTTGGGTAAGGGTTGGCGATAGTCTAGTTAATGATAGTTCCACAAGTAATCCTTCTTTTGAAGTTGTCTTATGTGTTTTCATATGTGCTTGACACTTTAAAAGCCAAAACCTATACAATAAACAAAGTAGTGATGTTGTCTTGCTTTCTCCATTCTGAACCCAGAGAGGAGACAAGGCAAAGAAAAGAAAAAGACAGTGAGCAGCAATAGTGTTCTAGAGCAAATCTGTGCAGGTAGGAAGGGCAACTACTTTCTGTGTTATTGGTCTACTAAAGCTCAATTTAAAAAATGAGTGAAACCAAACTGAGGAAAAAAACCAGAAGGGGGCTACCATTAGGTAGATTTTTAAAAAAATATATGTTTGATGCAAACTGTCAAAGCACCTTTAACAATTTTGATAAGTTTCCTTGTGAATCCTTTGGTTTCCCTTTTGATATTGAATGACCACTGAGTTTAGCAGCCATTCAACATCAACTTGAATTCAACATCAAGTTGCTTGTACTGAGCTTGCACTCAAGCTCAGTACAAGCAGGTCAGTAGATAGATTTTCCCATCTGTTTCTGTTGCAATACATTGGTTCCCAGTTTTAAGGCTTTGGAACACTGGGAGTGTTTCTTGGGTTTTTTTTTGGAAGCTGCTGTGGGTAGCTGCATGGTCAGGCTTTTAGTGGAAGAATTAAAAATAAAAGTGAGTTGGTTTTACAAATCACTTGCACATTAGAAGTAACATTTTCTGAGCTGTGTCTTGGGAGCAACTTTCTTGCTTACAGCTTTCCATGTATTTTTCTGTATGTTTTTTTCCATAGCAACCAATTGTTATGATCTCTGTCCTATTTAGTAGGCTTCAAGATGAAAATGGCCTGTAGTGGGGTTGTGGTTGCCTCAGGAAAGTGCTTCAGCTGAAGTTGTTTTTAAAAATGGTTGTGATTACTACTGCATGAAGTAATGTGAAAACTTAGCCTGATAGTGGTGAGTGGTTGGTGTTTTTTTAAATTTTGTTTAAAATATGAGGTCCTTACTATGAAAAAATACATAATCCACCTGAGAACAGGTTAATTCATACTAGCTAAGATCAGGAGAATTTCTAGAAAAAAAAAGTTCTATATTTCATATTTTGCGTAATTATACTGATGCTTCAGTTATTTATTATCTGTATTCAGCATCCAAAACAGTAAATATGTTGAATAGGCAAGTTAGTTTGGCCTCAGGAAAGATCATTTCTCTGTAGTACAGGATGCTATAAAATGTATGTCTTCAAAAGCAGTATTAGCAAAAGGGAGTTGTGGAGTGTCTGGATGAGAGTGGGATATGACATTTTTCTCTTTAAAGCTCAGATCAAGCATCACAGGCTCTGGAAAGAAAACTAAACCCAAACTTTTCGCTCTTTTTGTGGCACTTGGTACTTGGTTTCCTGTATCTTGTCGTGGGCTTTCTTGCTTAAAGAGGTATAGACAGTGTTTCATGTGGATAGGGACTCAAATTAGGCTTGTGGTATAATATGCAGCCTTGTGAAAGATGTTCTGCAAATGCACAGTACCAAATCTTTAGAGGTGCCTTAATCCATTTATTTATTTAAACTGCATGGTGGACTGGGAAGGTGCAGGTGCATGGAGGAGAACTGCAGGGTTTCATCGGGTTATCTTTGGGACTGAAGGAAATGAGGTACATGTATCTGTATTGGAGAGCTGGTTATTCTCTAGGGGTTCAATGTCATCTGCATGTTTAAAAAACACACCGAACACACAGTAAATCCCCACTGTTTGTTTTCATGTGGCTCTGTTCTGATTAGTGGTGCTCCTTTATTCCTGTGTGCATTTGTCAGAGCAGCTTATGTATTCCTACTGCTAAAGGCTTGGATGAATTACGTAGTAATTCAGATGCAGTGTAAGGACTTCGTGCACTTGATATCATTAAGATTTACATTATGTGGGATATAAACTTCAAATATGTATAGAATGCTGGTGATTGAGAAGTACATTTTGTTGCTCAGTGAAAGACACCCCTTGACAGGGGTTGCTTATGTAGTCACTGTGTGTTCAGACTTTGTTTATTTTGCTCATTTTGCTATTGGTTTATTTGCTAAATACTTTATGTCTGTGTTCAGGGTTCTCCCTACTCAAATAAGTCTGGTAGATAATAATTGAGTTTTAAAACTCAATGTAAGATTACAGTTATGACCATTTGAAGTTTGTAGACCATCTTCTCATAGAAAAACGTGTCAGTTCCAGTCTTTTCAGTTTCTTTCTTTACTTTCTATTCAGATAACATTTACCTGCTTATAAAAAGTAACCTGTAGGATAATACAGGCTGGATAACAGATTTCATGGTGTTTCTCCCAGTAGCATGTTGAAAATAAGAAATGAAATTGTATGAAGTGAGTGGTATGAAGCACTGTTGAGTGTGTGTAATTGTGTAATAGTGCATGTAATTGTGTCTCAGAACAGCATGAAATAGCTGATTTAATCTATCAACATGCATCCTAAGGTTAACCTGTTTTTTAAAAACATCTCTATACAATTTCTAAACAATATATAAAAGGGAAAAAAAATAAGAAATTTGTTAATTATACATTTTAGGTAAAGATTTAATGTTGTTAACTTTCACACTTCATGTATCTTTTTCAAGAAAAGAGAAGTCCCTGTCTCTCACCCACTGCTGATGTTGTTTTCAAATGAAATAAAACCTTTAGAAAAACCCAGCTAATGCAAATTTTATGCCAAAATTTTAGTAGCCGCTAGAGGACTCTGTTGGTTTTTGTATCAGAGTGTATCTCTGCTCAGGTGGCTATCTGAGTAGTAAACATGGATGATAATTTTCCAGAGATTTTCACAGTGA